AGCCCACGCTTTACGAAGGGCTAAATCTATGTAATTAGTTTTTTTACTGTCAGTGGAAAGTGTCATGATGTTATTTCTAACATTAGGTCCCTGGATGAGACCTGGAAAGAAATGTGTAAACGCCAGAAATCAAAGGAAATAAAAATAATAATTATCAACCAATTTCATCAAATATCATCTTGACAAAACTGGATTCCCTTCTGTGAAGAATGTTTGGAAAAACAAGGACAATTCTGATTCAATGTAAGTAAATAAGGCATATTGGCGCAATGACATTACAGAGACAACAAATATGGCACGTCTTTTCCAATAAATGTCTTCTGATAAATACCTCGCTTCTGCTCACTCCAATTTGCATAAGCATAAATCACTTGCAGTATAAGTAAATGAGAGCTGACGCTGCCCCGGGTACTTAACCGTGCAGTGTGATAATATAAATGACGTAAGAAGAACAGAAAACATTAATTTCAAGAAGGAGAGCAACTGGATTATCGATATCGCTGTACCCGGGAGCGTAAGGTTAGCTGAAGAACTACTCCCGCTCATGAACAGAGATGCACAATGCGTCAGCCCCTGAGGGTGCATGACCAATTGGTTCTGGACAGGTGAATGACAAACAGATATGTGGTACTCAACATTTATTATTATTGTTATTATTATTAATATTATGTTCATACTAGGTGCATGAAAGTTATTGCTGGAGATTGAGTGAATGCAATTCTACTCAATATTTCCGGACAAATATTCCAGTTGTGTTTAGAAGTTCTGCCGTCGTGACTATCTTGATTCTTACTCTGGATTTCAGATCTAGATCTTCCAAGAAATAGGACCCAAGATAAATATTTTCAAAACAGAAATTATGATTTGAAAGTCGAATGAAAAAACGAATGGCACCTGAACCCATTTTTTAAAAAAAATCAGGAATATATATATATATATATATATATATATATATATATATATATATATATATATATATAACAGTGCATGGATCAGTTATAACAAATTTAGTATAGGAGGTGAGGAAACTGAACAAAGAATAGGCTGCATTAGAGGTAGTTTCATACAACACAGCAAACTGTTATAAAACCAAAAAAAAGCTGGAGTCAGATTCTTAAATAGCCTCATCGTATCGAGACTTTCACATCGGTGTCACGCATGACGCCAAAGTCGTTCTGAAATATCTAAACTCTTAATCGTTTTATCAGTTCAATAATTAAACATAGCTTCGAGCGAATGAAGAGTGTAGCTCCTGAGGAGAACTATACATCTTCGAATCTTGTAAACTGGCGCCAAAGAATACAAAGACCTGTACCAAATAACAGAAATCGCATCACATGGAGACTTTAGAAATAGCAACAACTAAAATAATGAGATAATCAAGTTGTTGACGTTATACACTACTTCAAACAAATGGTAAGGGCGGAAGCTTCCATAAAAAAATGGAAAAAGCAATAATTTTCCCGAAAAACTGTTATACATTTAAACAGAAAAGAAAACAGCTCGGGCAATGAATGTCAAATTTTTCTTCACAAGGAAACGGTTAATTTTACCATTACCAATCTGCACAGTCACAAGATAGAGGAAGTTTTTACCTTCCTGTTCCACAATTTCTTTTTAGTTTTCTTGTGTGATTCTAATAGTTATCTTTGCTTCTTCTTACAATATTCCCTTTGTCTGCGACGAGGTGAGTCAACGAAATGATAATTCTTAATTCTTATATATCGGAAGTTTTACACAAGCTTTTGTGTTTTCATCATAACAGTGTGTGATAAAAAAAAATTCAAATTGCCACACCATATTCGGTATCCTCGCAAATCCCAGTACTGGGTGTCAAAATAGTTAAGCACTTTCACTATCCACTTTAAATTTTAGTGCAATGTAATTTTGATATTCCATATCGCTGAATGAATTTATGTTCTTATTACATATAGAATGCCTATAAACACTATTTACATTATTCAAGGACATATGGCACAGTAGATAAAGGCGTTGGTTAAATGCAGTGACAGGACCCAAAGAGTATGAGTTCAATGCCCGTTTAAGGCAGTGGAGAACTTTCAGAGGGGAATTAACAGGAGATAACTGATAACTGACATCCATTAGACATGGCACGTGGAAGTAGAACAGTCTACACCAGTGAGCGAAATAAAGGGTTCAGTTCGAGATTCCAACCACCTGAAGAAGGCCGAGGCGTACAATGGCCGAAACATTGTAATAAATATGGCGACAAAGATGAGGACAATAGTCTGAGTAATGTAAATACTGTACATAATACCTCATCTCAGAAATATAGACAGATACTGAAGGGCCGAAACGTTGTAATAAATATGGCGATAAGGATGAGGAAAATAGACCGAATAATGTAAACAGTGTACATAATACCTCATTTCAGAAATATAGACAGATAATGCCTAAAAAATATAATTTTCTGTTAACCCACCCTGTTCGAATCTATTAAAATCTTCAAATAGTAAGTAACATTAACTGAATGTGGAACAAAGCCACAAGTGTTGGACATGGAGCGTGAATCGAACCCACTTCAGAAATAGTGATTTGCTATGCAAGTTTGCTAATTGTTGCCTCTTGGTGAAGTGCCCTAATGTGTTCTTGTCCGTTTGCATCAATGAACACAAAGTAATTATTTTGGTCCATGTCTAGTTAGATTTTGAACGTTGATATCTAATGTAGCTTATCGTATTCAAAGGGAAACAGTCTAGAATAGCATATAACGAATTGGCGGTTCTTAAATCTTAAAGGCTAATTGTTGTTTATGACATGCTGTCAGCTTAGAAGGAACACGCACTGAAATTTGGGTCTTTGACAAACATCACATACTATGAGCGAGACAAAATAAAATTCAGTTAATGTGTATTAGGTACGCTAAAACGCAATAGAGGAGAAACCGCTTCTTTGCATTTCTGTCTTCGGTGATAACATGAACAGAATGTATAGATAGTGACTATCAGGGTGGAAAATGAAATCGGTAAGTTCGAATAACAGCTTAGTTTTTCTGTTCATTTAATTATGAACATGGACACAATATCTTGACCGTGTTTTGGAAAAAAAATCAAAACATTTTCTAAAAACATACATGCAATAAACTATTTCTTATTTAAGAGTTAAAATATTTGATCCTTGAAAATGGCTAAATGTATAGCCGAAAGCCCTCAGATAAAAAGAACTTTCGGACAGATTTTATATAATTTATCATCTGAAAAGAAAAAATATTAGATCGCATGAGAAATTGTATAAAAAACTAAATAAAAGCACCTTTTGTCTGTTGTATTCAATGAAATGTACATATATATATATATATATATATATATATATATATATATATATATATATATATATATATATATATGTATGTGTGTGTGTTTATAGTTTAAATAGTTACACACTTTAGTTTGGAGTTATTGGCCAGTTTTTCATTCCGTCTAAAAAGCAGACTTACGATTCCGACTTCCAAAACAAGTAGATGCATTTCATTTCGAACATTCATGCATTACTATCTTCCTAGTCTCAGTTTCTATCATTTTGGCCTACAAATATAGGTTACTAAATATATAAATAACTCGTTGTAATGCAATGTAGTAAGTCTGCTTCTTATTACTGTAGCGATTTCAGTCCTTATTAGTTTTCCTAACCTTGAGAATTTTGCTTAACTAAGCTATACTTCATAAATAATATCTAAATGCTCAGTGAGTTTTGAAACGGACGTGTGCAAACATTTGTTAGGACAGAGACATTCACCCAGACGTTTTGTAAGAAAATCAATTAGGCGTTGTGAATAATATTTTTGTTCTTTAGAATTTGTTTCTTTCTTTCTTATTCAGCAAAGAAATTAAGATATTTAGAATATCTCTTTCACGTAACTATGAATAAACCCCCAGATAAATCCTAATACATACATACGTTAGTATCGGTAGCAATCTTCTTGCATTTATAGACTAATATTTAATCTATTTTTTGTTATTTTTTAATTTCAATTTTTTTAATCCGTACCTACTCTACTCATCAAATTACATAATTAGCACAAGATATCATGTATGTCGCAATAAATATACCTTAATGACATAAACTGCTGACAACAATCGTTGTGGAATAAATGTAAGCAATACGTTTACTATTAAAAATATATGTGGAATAGTGAAAATAGTCCACACTTAGAATTCCGAACAATTAAAAGCAATAAAAAACATTCCATTCCTTAAATATGACGTCTTTTAAAAAATGAAATAATGAACAAAATAGTGTATGTGTATTTGAGTTGCGATATGAGTAGGGACCAGTCATCTTGGCTGATTGATTCATTCATTTTTACGACTTATCAACCATTTGCAGGTTATTTAAAGTTAAAAAAAAATATTTATAAATTCTAATAATTTTTTTGGAGATAACGCATATGCTGGCGAACGAGGTGACTGGGCGTATAAGATGACCTCCAAATTTTCAAGTTAAAATGTAGATTTCGGGATATATTTGCCGTACAAGACGATTCCCTCAAATCGTATTTTAAAATGTATTGTAGAGAATTTATGTAATAAATTCAGTAAGCATATTATTACACTACACATTTATTATTTTATTGCAATAATTTGAATTAAGTTGTTTGAGGAGAGATATTTGTGTCGATAGTTATCAAGGTAGGGGTTAGCCTAGAGTCAGAAATCTACCATGCTAGCAACTTACCATAAACCACAACATTTTAGGTTCACATTTTATAACTGAATTATAAGACAGTCCTCTATTTGTGGGGATTTTTAAGTTTAAAAGGTCGCCTTGTACGCCAACATATAAGATAATAATAACCCGCTGATAAAAGTTCTATTAATTACCTCATAATTCGTGGTTGTGGGAGGGGAATTCATACCTTTCCAATGATGTTTACCCTAGTGAATATAATGAACCCGATTGGCATAATGATTCGAAACTCGGATCTCCGATTTTCCATTCCGAGCCATTATCCATTTCACCATCCGCACATCCAAGCTTAAAGCACTTGGAATTCCTAAGTGGACACCCATATAAGTACTGACCTGACACGACGTTGCTTAACTTCAGTGATTATATGAAAACCGGTGCTTCAACGTGATATGACATTAAGTCCAGGCATCTTGGGAATGTATTCTTTTTAATTCCGAGTTAAATCCATGTCATTATTCCATGAATCATACAGACTGTTATCCACACCATTGTTGTTTTGATCGCTACGCTTTGGCTGATACATTCTCAGGATTTTCTCAGCTATATTGAACCGATAAAACATTCACAGCGATGTTTTTAAAGAAGAAACCGAGATAAATATTCATACAATAGAATTTTGGAAGTGTTCAAGATGATAAAGTAATTAGAGATTAGTTTGCAACAAGCACCTACAAAAGAATGGAGGACGCATCGGTCGAAATTAAATGACAAAGAAAAAAAAGTTTAGTCCAAGCAAATTAAGAAATCTTTAGTAACAAAAGTTAATTGTTAATTGAGTAATAATAGTTGTTTTCTGATCGCAATGGGGGCGTAGGTGTTTGATTATCAGATATGATATTATGAACCCATTTGCACATCTCTTGCTGCATTGTAGCAGTTTACATTGACTGACCAGGAAGTAATTTTTATTGTTCATTGTGTTATGACGTAGTTTTCATTTTTGTATGCTACATTATACAACAATTCATAATCTCGTTGACACGATAGAGCAGAAAATATATTTGGTTTCTTCTCATGTATAAAATCATTTACTTTTGACATATTATGAAGGATTACAAACAGCGAATAATCTTATTTTTCTGTGATAAGATGTTTTCGTTTTGTCGCTACTTAATTGTTATTTCACATAATATAGGTTAGCCGGAGAAAATGAGAGTAACTTCAATAATTATACATAATATCTGAAAATTTGTCACTTAGATAATATGTGTTATATTCAACACCTTCACTCTAGAGATTCTAAGATTAACGTTTTCTAATTGTTCAGTTCAATCAATCATCAGGAGGTTTCAGCAAAAATATATATATATATATATATATATATATATATATATATATATATATATATATATATATATATGTGTGTGTGTGTGTGTGTGTGTGTGGCGTGTGTGTGTTTAATGATAGGTTGCTATAATCAACACCTTCACTCTAGTGATTCTAAGAGTAACTTTTTCTAATTGTTCAGTTCAATCATCAGGAGGTTTCAGCGTTTAGTTTTTCATTGAGTTTTACGAACTGTAAATGAATCATACCATCTCGATTTCACCACAGGCACAATATTATAATTCTTCGAGGACTACTGACTTTTACGTTGGAAATTGTCGTATGAAACCCAATTTTTATCACCTGTTATCATATAGTGAAGAAAAATGTTATTTCTCTGTTATTAAAGAACACTTGTCGCTATGGATAAAACGATCTGTTTTGTTCTTATCGCCAACAGCATGCTGAACCCAAATAACAAACTTTCTGATATTTCCTATATTTTCTGATCGTTTATATATATATGTGTGTGTGCGTGTGTGTGGTGTGTGTGTATGTGTGTTTAATGCATGATTTGTTTTTACGGCTTATAAATACTTTGCAGCTTATTTAAACTATATATATATATATATATATATATATATATATATATATATATATATATATATGTGTGTGTGTGTGTGTGTGTGTGTGTGTGTGTGTTTAATGTTTGATTTGTTATTACGGATTATAGATACTTTGCAGCTTATTTAAACTATTATGTATGTATGTGTGTGTTTGATTTTTTTACGGTTTATAAATACTTTTGCAGCTTATTTAAAATATTTTTAGATTGTAAGAGTTTTTTTTGGGAGATAATAATGATTTGATGATACAAGTTCTACTAATTAACCCATAGCTGAGGAAATGTTGTGTATTCATATCTTTCCCAAGGTTATTTGCGTGCAAGTGAATATAAATAATACGACTGGAATTCGAACACGGTGCTCCGATTACCCATTACACCCTCGCACTTTCAGGCTTACATCAACTGTTATTCCCAAGCGGTCATTCATCTAGATACCGATCAGGCCCGACGTGGCTTAACTCTGTTGATCGTACGAGAACCCGTGTTTCAACATAATATTGCTATAAGTCTACCAGTTTCTGTGTTATTGTATGAATACGCATTGTTTAACTGTTATCGGCACCAAAAATGCGATCGGCGTGTAACAGAGTTCCAGTTTCGTCACACATACCCTCCGCAAAGATAAGGTGTGAATCCATTCTCTGGGCTCTTTACCTTTGCTGGGAGCTAATACGGGAGGAATAAAATTTTGAAGGGAAAACTGCTGAGAAAGCAATAGGAAATCAATCCATTCTCTTTTCCAAGATGTCATGGTAATTCCTATTTAGTAGGAAGAAAAGTATGTTGTGAAGAGTCATAGTCTCTTACGTCTTGAAGATACATGATTTTTTGTATATGTTGAATAAGAAAATACATCTGTCTATATTTCTGAGATGAGGTATTATGTACATTATTTACATTATTCGGACACATGGCACAGTGGATAAAGGCGTTAGTTAGATCAGGTGACAGGACCCATAGAGTGTGATTTCAATACTCTGTTAAGGCAATGGAGAACTTTCAGAGGGAAAATTAACAGGAGATAACTGATAACTAACATCCATTAAACGTGGAACTAGAACAGTCTACCACAGTGAGTGAAATAAAAGGTTCAGTTCGACATTCCAACAACCTGAAGAAGGCTGCCGTGTACAACGGCCGAAACGTTGTAATAAATATGGCGGCAAAGATGAGGACACTAGTCCGAATAATGTAAATAATGAAGAAAATACATAATATGAAATAGTAGAAATAGAAAATGCGAAAGATCGAAAATTTTTGAGACAAAATCGAATAAAACATGAAGGATTTTACATATTTCTCAATAAGGCCATATATTAAACATGAAAATACCTCTATTACTTGCACACTCTATTTCATAAAAAAGCAAGATAGCCAGTTTTGATCATTATATATTTGCATTAAACCGATTGAATTCCCTTACAGGTTAATTTTACTGTTGTATTTCTTTAAAAGTTCATAAAAAAGAGTAGAAATACAAATTTTATAAGAAAAGTTAGAGTTTAAAAAATAGGAAACTACTATTAAAAATATACGAAAATAATCATTCGACCACCCTTAGCAATGAATCAAATGAAAAGTAAAGAAATAAATACCGCCGGAGGCTTTCAAACTCCCTACCAGACAGTAACGTTGCTAACGAGGACCATCATCTTTATTTCGTTGTTTGTTTTTGTCTTTCTTGTTTCCTCTTTTTCTTTTTTTAAACCAAAGCCGGTGGTAGGATAAGAAAATATATGTGTATTTAAATCCTACTAGAAAACTCGATTAGATGTTGCTCGATGCCGCTGTTCAGAGAAATAAACAGTTCATTAAAAGGTCTTCAAGAATTTAAAAGAAAATGCGAACCAGAACTCCCGATGAGAGCTGAAGGGCGACCCGACTAAAATTTTACGATAAAAAAAAAAAAACAGCCTAAATAAAAATTTCCATATGAAAAAAAAATATGTTGACTTGAAATCTCGACTAACAGTCAGAGGCAAACGTTAAAATTAGCGATATTATTCTAATATTTTTTTAATATGAACAGATCTACACAAACCAAAATTTTCATATTTTCTCGGCTTAGACTGGTACAAGGATCTAGCGATGTTTTTTTCTAGTTCTAGAATGTCGTTATAAATTTTAAAATGTCACATAATTACGTTTCGGAACAACCAACACCATTCAGAAAAATATATTCGTTGCTTGAAGAAGAACGATTGTTTGCAAGTTAACTTCACAGATCATTACTAGTCCAGATTATAACAAACTGAGGATTCTAATTACAATAGAAATAGTAGAAGACAAAAGCTTGATAGTGATTGCTGTAGTTGATATGTAAGTTTGGAACTAGCCATGCCTTGGAAAACGAGCTTGATGAACAGTGTGCTGGCGTAAACACCAATATACAGATGTTAGCTGAATTTACTCCAAGAGCATTAAATATTTACTTAATCTGTCATAATCTGATACAGAGCCAGGCAGAAATATCACATGAGGCAATTGCCTAGTGGATTAAAGCGTTGATTCGTGAATTTGTTGACAGTAATTTTGAGTTCAATCCCTGGGCCAGGTAGTGTGTACTTGGACTCAGTAGAAACAGAGCTGACACTACCTGGATAGTACTAAGTAAAAACAAGACGAGATATACGAGGGAAATGGAACGAAAAAATATACAAATAAAGGGTTCAGTTCAAAATTCTTTGTATGTTACCCGTATAGACTACGCCTTGAGGAAATACGGCACATATGAACAATAAGATGTTGCAATCAGTTTGTAAGTTATTCATTGTTCTGCAATCATATTGGAATAAAAATATATATTGTTACGTTCATTTTATATCATTTGTTTGCAAGCAGATTTCATATTTAAATGCCTTGTTCTTTCAGGACGTAAACAATTATGAATCTCCAGACATTCTTTTTCTTTAAAATTATTTGAAAATTGCCATGGCATGGTTGGGTTTATTTTGTTTTACAGCACATCAACCTCAATGGGTTATTTAATGCCGACAACATTTTCACGATAGATTCGTATGAATAAAATATGTATTCTTTGGTTTAGATTGGTTTGGTTTATTTTGTTTTACGGCATATCAACCTCAATGGGTTATTTAATACCGACAAAAATTTTATTGCTGGTAATATTTTGTTTTGTCAAAAATCTGTTTCTGGTAATATATTTCCTTCAAAATTGTATTGCTGGTAATATTTTTTTCCAAAAAAATATTGTTGGTAACAGTTAACTATTTACCAATAGCTGTGACACTAACAGGTGCTACCACCTCGGGTCAGTGTGGTCCTGGGAACACCAGCAACTAAGAGGTGGTTCCACACTCCTCAAAACCTCCTGATCAGAGGCCTTGCTGCTGGACGTAGTTTAACGTCTTATCCAGGACGCGGATGTAGTTTGACGCCTTACTCAGGACGGCCATGACTTGTGAAGGAGAGTAAAATGGTTTGCTGTCGCTTTCTTCATGGTTTTGAATTCAGAAGAGTCCTTCTCCAATACTGACTG